TATTGGTCTTGGTGTCAGAAAAAGAGATACAAAGTCTCCCAAGTTTTTCGCGGACGATTTTGTGTTTATCTGACAGCCTTGCAGAGGCAGAACAAATGACTCAGGGGCTACAGTTGGTTTATAAGCATCAACAAATCAAAAACAAAGTTCATGATTAATCTTGTCTCCAAGGAGAACATTGTCAGTAGCATGGTCGAGATTTTGTTGGTGGACTTATACTACTAATTACTACTATTGTGCCATGAAATATGCATCTCCAGAGATAATCAGGCATGCAAATTGGAAAGGAGAATCACTCAAACTTGCGGAGTGATGTACCCGTCTGCTAGAAGAAGAAAGTTTTCAACCAGTAGGGCGTGCTGTCGGGCTGGGAGCCCTTGACGTTGACAATTGTGTCCGTTAAGAAAATACGAATAATTTGAAGAAGGAAGGAGAGATTGATGCTGGGTTTCATCGTGAGAGACAATGATGTTAGTATTTCAAAGACCTATAAAGTCCTTTTTTTTTTAAGATAATTCCACAAGTCAAAAATTTAGTAGGTAACTATATGTTGGCAACACAAGCTTTTTCCACGTAGAAAAATTGGAAGCATTGACAACTTTACATTGTATTGCCAACATAATGTCATTTTGACTTTTATCTTTAAAAAAAAACAGACTTTACGATGACCAACCGTTATGAAGTTAGCAGCCAAAACTTGGCAGCAAATTTGACGGAAACACCCGAAAGACCATTGGCGTAGCATTTTTTTTTATTCAATAAATTATACGTAGGGTGGGTTCCGTTGTCTAACCTGGTTAACCGGTCGGTACAACGTCGGTTGACAGCGGTTGACAACAATTGACAAGCGGTTGCTGAGATTTCGGTTTCATACGGAACGCTTTTCCAATCGCAGAACCAATGAACTCAGAACCGCCGCCGGTTGCCTTGGTGACATGTTTGACATAACCAACCGCGTTCGGTATAGACCGTTTTTTCAGGAACCAGACATTACGGAACGTGTAACCGTAACCAAGGTTGACAACGGAACCCAGCCTTAGACATCGAGTCTAGCCATGAAATTGATAGAGCACTATTTCAACACCTTTTCCAACCCCTATGCAAATTCCCATTGACTCAAACCCCGTCGAACTATGAAAAACTACCCTTAACGAGTACAAATGCATAAATATTCAGAATTTCGTTTTTTTTTTCTAATTCGGACTTCGAGTCTTGCCATGAAATTAATAGGGTACGATTCTTACACCTTTCCCAACCTCTACGTAAAATCCCATTGACTCAAACCCCGTCTAAGTACGAAAAACTACCCTTAACAAGTAAAAATACCTGAATATACAAATTTTCGTATATTTTTCCAACTCGGAGTTCGAGTCTTGTCATCACATTAATAGGGTAGATACTATTTTAAAACCCTTTCCAACCTCCATGCAAAATCTCATTGACTTAAACCCCGTCGAAGTACGAAAAATTCCCCTTAACAAATACAAATGCCTAAATATTGAAATTCTTGTATTTTTTCCCAACTCGGACTTCGAGTTTTGCCATGAAATTGATAGGGTACTATTCTAAAACCCTTTCCAACCTCCATGCAAATCCCATCGACCCGAAAAACTACCCTCGAAAAGTAAAAATGCATAAATACACAGATTTTCGTATTTTTTCCGACTCAGACTTCGAGTCTTGCCATGTATTTTAACACCATTTCCAACCCGCATTTAATTTCATGGCAAGATTCGAAGTCGTCCGAGTTGAAAAAACATGCGAATATTTGTGTAAGAATAGAACCCTATTAATTTCATGGCAAGACTCGGAGTCCGAGTTGGAAAGAAATACGAACATCTCAATATTTATGCATTTTTACATGTTAAGGGTAGTTTTTCATATTTCGACGGAGTTTGAATCAATGGGTTCTGCATGGGGGTTGGAAATGTAGTTAGTAGGTACCCTATTAATTTCATGGCAAGACTCGAAGCCCGAGTTGGAAAAAAATACGAAAATTTGAATATTCATGCATTTTTACTTGTTAAGGGTAGTTTTTCGTACTTAGACGGGGTTTGTGTCAATGGGATTTTGCATGGGGGTTCGAAATTGTGCTAAAATAGTATCCTATTAATTTCATGGCAAGACTCGAAGTCCGAGTTGGAAAAAATACGAAAATCTCAATATTTATGCATTTTTACTTGTTAATAGTGTCACAACCCCTATACGTTTCGTCCTGGGACGTCACAACAGGAGCGTGACTTGGGGGCGTAGGTGAGGTTCAGGTAGAGAGAAACTCGCTTGGTATAGGTATAGTCCCCAGTACATCGACCCTAACATTTTGTAACTCATGTACACGCGAAACTTCCTGAGCGGCTTCATAACACCATGTCGGACAATTTTGTTCATATCTTCAACCTGGGCGATGGGACATTGTCGCGCTAGCTCTTCGTGAAGTTGTCATTCTGACATCCCTGAGAACGGTGATACATGTACATGTAATTTTAGTTCTAGTCGACTGTTTTTTATGTTATATTAATGATAACACATTTGTCGGACAAAAATCTCGTGGCATTGGGAGGGTCCGACAGCCTTAACATGTTGCTGTTGGGGGTGTCGGACCCCCCCAATGCCACGGGATTTTTGTCCAATAAATGTGTTATCATTAATATAACATAAAAAACAGTCAACTAGAATTAAAATTACATGTACATGTATCACCGTTCTCAGGGATGTCAGAATAACAACTTCACGAAGAGCTAGCGCGACAATGTCCCATCGTCCAGGTTGAAGATGAACAAAATTGTCCGACTTGGTGGTATAAAACCGCTCAGGAAGTTTGGCGTGTACATGAGTTACAAAATTTTAGGGTCGATGTACTGGGGACTAATAATAAGATGTGTATTGAATAATAATAGTATTACCCTAGAAATTGTATCATGACGTCTCTACTACGGAGGGACGTACTACTTATGGGCCACTCTGTAATAATTATGTACCCTCTGTACACTTGGCGCGACTGAAGACTGAAACTGGCTTTGAGACAGGGCGTTTCCCATTAAAGGTAGTTTGCACTGGGAGGAGACTTAGCTAGAGGGGCTTTTCCCATTAGAGGTAGTTCGCACTAGCTTTAGTCTGCCGGTAATGGATTTCGGCGCTGTATTTATACTAAATAAATGCTGACTCGTCGACACACTTTAGTAAAATTGATGTACAGAGTGGTATTTACTTAAGTAGTTGACAATAGGGTAGTTTTTCATATTTCGGCAGAGTTTGAGTCAATTGGATTTTGCATGGGGGTTGAAAATGGTGTTAGAATATTACCGTATTAATTTCATGGCAAGACTGTGATGATTTATTGAATTTAAAAAAAAATGCTACGTCAATGGTCGTTCGGGTGTTTCCGTCAAATTGGCTGCCAAGTTTTGGCTGCTAACTTCACATCAGTCGATGACCATCGCAAAAGTAAAATCGAACTACACAAAGGGCTGATTCATGAAGTACTGTAACTCACATCGCCTGCGTGCCATGATATGATAATGCTCAAAGGGAAAACCTCTTGAAGATTTCACTCAAAAGCTGTTGCCATGATCTTTCCTAATCACATTTATTCGCAACCATCGTTAATAATGAACATCCAGCAGCGCAGAATGAATATATTTATGTTCAATTTAAATTGTTATTGTTTTTTTTTTTTTTAATATCATACGCAAATATGTCATAGCCTCGATAACATCAAAGAGTTGCGTCGAATGCCTCATTATTTTTATCATTTTTAATGACACTATGTATCTGGGTGTCGACCATTATTATAATTTATTACAATAAGGAGATGATAAATTATTGATTGACAACCAATATCCTAAATTAAAATATATTGATTTTTATATTAGGTATAGAGTTTAATAGACTTTAGGGTGTGAAGGGTTTTTTGGGACAAATTTAATTCACATTAAGAATATTATGATGAAGCGAGGATTCCAAAAAAATCGTATACTTGGGTAATTAAAAAGTGGCAATCACAATTTGAATGTTTATTTCGAGTAAACGTTCAGCTTGATATTTTACCTAGAATTATTTATGAGTTGCCAATTAAACACCAAACCTTCATAAATTGTTTAGCTAATGCACAATGTGTCTGCAACTGGCTAAACATTTGCAATTTCCTTAAAATAGGCAGCTTTGTTGTATCACTTTCATCAGTATTACACGTTAATTTTAATAGTTATAAGCCAGTGAGGTTTCAATTAATTGGGTTTTAGGAACTGATAAAATTAATATAGAATTTTCACCCAATGTAGTAAGTATCTATAGGTAAAATTATAGGTACTTCTCATCCAAAGCTTATTATCGACTATAAATCCTACTGTATAGGTAGGTACTTATTTTTCAATGTAGATTCCTAATTTTTGTAGGTATCAATTTTTCATTAGGTACTCTACTCAATACTTCATTTTGCATGGTTTCTAGAAAACTGTTTAAATATCTTTAGCAATAAAATCGTGAATTTACCTATAAAGGTCAAAGAACAATACAATCATGTTTTACTAACAATAGCATTTATCCTGCCGCTAATACGGATATTTCAAATCTGTGTAATTTAAAATCAATTGATTTTTTAAGGTTTCCATGTATATCTTGATTACTTACGAACACCTCTATATGTAGGATTCAAATTGAAATGTCAAATCTCCTTAATTAGTTTTTTGGTGGACTGTGTTTTAATTTACATATTTTTGAATAATTTGTGCTATTTGAGGAGTGTAACCATCTGTTGCATATGTTACAAAAGCGAGCAATAAAATAAACTTTAAAATCCTCCTGTTTATCATTGCGGTAACTTTTATGATATACATATGTATATTTATAAATTTTGATACAACCCTATAAAAATTAGACTTGGGAGCTTAATGATTTTATAAATATCTAGGAGTCACTCATAAGACGACACGTGAAGGACATTTTTTGTTAACCAAGAAGATTGGTTATCAATATCATTAATCAATCTAATTTTCTTTTAGGTCAGAAATCCATCGATATGTCAGAATTAAACGGCCAAATTCCAAAATTTAACCGAACCAGCAGCAAAATCTGCGCCACTCCCGAAGAAGAACTATTAGAAGCCGTTTTAAATAATAACACAATAAAAATTCAACAACTCATAAACAAAAATGAATCTTTGATAAGTTACACTTACCCAGATTACGGAAAAAGGATTTTGCTGATTGCTTGTTCCGAGGAAGCCGTTCAAGCTAAAACCGTTGAAAAGCTATTAAATTTGAGAGCCAACCCTAGAGATCACACTGAGGATGATGGTTGGGAAGCGTTACATTGGGCAGCACAGAAAACTGATTTTGGTACTTTGGATGTACTGATTAGAAAGAACTCTGGCGATATAAATGCTGCAGATCAATATGGTAAGAAATATTTTCAAGTTTGTGGTTATTGTTTTCAAAACACCAATATTTACTAAAGACAGTTCACGTTTAGTGAAAATTTCGAGGAAAATTTAGATGTTAGAAATCACGATGGAGCTTTTGGACTAAACTTTTTTAGTACCTATTTAAGTATTTAAACATTGCCGACTTTACGAGCTTGAAAAATATGCTGACAACAGATGACTACCTACTTCCTTCGATCAAACGAGGAAATCTCCACCAATCTTCCAGAAAATCGGAGCAACCGTGGTGTCAAGGCATTGAAAGGCAAATAGCCAGGCAAACATCAATATTTTTATTTTTGGGGTATGGGATTGAAATTGACCCGGAGAATGTAATGGGAAGTAAAACGCAACTAGAGATGCGTTCTTGATAATCTTATAAGCAATAAAGATCATATAAATGGTACTAAGGCGGAACTTCTCCAATTTTATGTGTCAATATGCCTTTAATGAGCATCGTACTTGTCTTAGCAACGTTCTGCTCTTTCAACTGCTGACCGCACCATTTCTCTCACCAAGATAGCCCAGAAGCATCTTGAAGAAGTCCCTTAGATGCCTACAAACGACATTCAAGACGTCTTGTAGACCCCTGCTCACGTCTTCAAGACATCTAAGATGTCGTATGTTACAAAACCCAACGTCAGACGTCTGCCTAAAGACGTCATCAGGACTAATATTTCATTATTATTATTCATTTTATAACAAAATGCTGCTGAAAAGTGTTTTGGAACGTTCTAAATAAAATATAGTATGTAGTTCTAAAGTGTTCTAACTTGGTTTGAAAAGTTCTAAAACATGCTAGTAGTTTTTCAGTAATCTCTAAATTGTTCTGATAGATTTATAAGTATTTTAAAGCCCTATTGAAGCTCTAAAGTGTTCTAAATTGGTTCAAAAGAGTTCTAAAAGATTAACAGTTCTAAATTCAATCCTTATTGTTCTAAAATAACTCTGAGGTTTATCAATTGTTCCAAAATGCTTCTGAAAATTCTGATTTGGATTTGAACTGTTTTGGATGCTAATTGAAGGTCTAAAGTTCTACAGCAATCTGAAGTAGCTCTTGATTGAAAGCCTTTGTACTGTATCCTGAAGATTCTGGCGCTTTTCAAAGTTCTGGAGTTTCTAGAGTGTTTGACTATTTTGGAGCATTCTAACATGGGTTTCAAACTTGAAAATTGTTAATCGGTTTTTAAATGTTTTGGGGCATTCTAAAATGGATCTGAAATTTCCACAATGTTCGAGAGCGCTACAGAATGTTTTTGGAAATTCTGAATTGAATTTTAAGTGTTTTGAACTTTCCAAAAGGCTAATCAAAGTTCTAAAGTGTTCTGTGGCAATCTATATGATTTCCAGTAACTGCTTAATTGAATGAGAAACGAATTTTGTGAAAAATTTCTTAGACATTTCAAAGACATCCCTAAGATGACCACAAACGACATTCAAGGCGACTTGCTCACGTCTTTAAGGTCTCTTAAAGACATTATGACGTCTGTCTAAAGTCGTCTTTAGGTCTAAAAAATTTTAAAGATGTCTTCAACGAGATGTTTTAATGACGTCTTTGAATCTCTTTTCAATACATAAACCATTATTCAGTTTCAGACCTGGGTGTACCAAATAGTTAATAGTTGTCTTTGAGATGTGAATTTACGATATATTATGGACATTTTCAAAACAACTCCTTCTGGATGTCTTTTTTTGGTCTTCAGACGTAATGCAGACTTTAAAAATACGTCTTAAGGACTGTGTGTGCCGTCTGGGTAGTTGTCTTCTTGCTATTGCTCGAATTGATTTTTTTACCTTCATTTCGAGTTCCTCGCGACTAACTAGTGGAGACCATCAACTTAGACCATTGGTCCTCCGCATCCAATTATTTCCGAAATGATCATTGACGTACTCTGCGTCCCGATTATAGCATTATAGGGAGTGTAGTAATTACAATACCGATGTAGGTAATAATCACAATACCGACCGTAATAAAGCAACACCGTATAACTTCTGCTTAAAATACTTTTTATTGTAAAACTAGCTGACCCGGCCACGAGTTGCTGTGGCTCAGTCAGTGATCTTTGCTAAATTTGAAGAATCCGATACTTTATTTTTATAAATGCTTGGATACTCTGGATACTTTTTTTCTCACGCTCAATTATATCCTTCCAGTTCCATAAATATGACATTAAATCGGCTTTAAGAAAAGAACACTTTTCGTTAAAGTATACTTTAAGCAGCCCTTAAACTCATTTGGGTTCCATAAAACATTTTAAATCGTCTGTTACAAAAAGGAGTAATTATCGGTTTTCCCAATTCGGCAACATTGAAATTGGATAAATGAAGTTGGTTTTGACGTGAAAATAGAGAAACAAATAAATTAACAAATGCAGGCAAGGTTTGTAGTTTCAATTTGGTTTTATCCTAAGCTGATGGCCTCGCAAAAGAAGGGGCCTCAACACCATACCATGGATCAGAGCCCTATGGTGGCTCAACAAATGGGAGAAAGACCATCATCATATTGGAGGCACACTCCGGGACTAAAACAGTCAAAAAGGTTTATCACCTTTTCAGCAAAAAGAGCTGAATAGCTCCTAAACATGAGCAGACCACATCAGAATGGTAGTAGGACTACTTACTGGACACTGTCTGGTGAAATACCACCTAAGGTTAATAGGCAGAGCAGTAGACGATCTCTGCAGATTCTGCTCAGAAGCAATAAAGATCGCTGAGCAACTGCTCTGCGAATGTCCAGCCCAATTCTGCAAGAGGCTCAAATTCCTCGAGGGGATAACACGGCTCGGGTACTGATCACCAGAAGAAGTGGGCCAACTGACACCCAGAAAAATACGCTCCCTGAAGACAATATAAGATGTAGAGTCACGTACAAAATATCTACAAAGGTAGTGCTGAGCAGCTGGAAAGCCGAAATGACTCCCCCTACAATCTACAATACAATGCATGAATTTTTCTAAGGAGAAGGCTTGGGAACGGGTAGCTTTAGCTTACAATGCTAGTGGAACGGTTGAAAAAATGTAGATCAAGTGAAGCAGAAAGACAATTAAAAAAAAGGAAGCTTTAATGTGCTTTTTCATCCAGTAGGGCTCCTACAGTCGGCTTTGTTAACCTGAACCGGTCAAAAAAATTCTATGTCGACATATTTTTCAAAACAATCCACTCTCATCCTGTATCGCTTAATATAATTTCATATCCTCTACATTTGAATGGGTCGAAATTTGCCATTTTGATATGAAATAACCAAAACACAGAACCTGTAATTTGGCACCTTATAGGTTAAATTGCCCTATAAAGTACTCTTTTCAACGCGTAATTGGCCAAACTTGGCACTTTAAGGTAAACGTCACTTTTTCGTAATGGCTCCTTTAAAAACTGTTTATGGAACAGATTTTAGAAATTAAAGGTACTTTTTAAGAATAAAGTAGACTTTTTTGCGATTATGGAACTGGCCGTTAGAGTTAATCCGCAAGAATAAGGTCTAGCGAGTAGCGGTAAAATTATAAAATCCTTCAAAATTTACAGAAATCTGTAATCATGCAGCGTGCAGATTTGTAATTCGTACCATAGACTTTTCGTACGAACGAAATCCGTGCGCTATGCTACATTTACATAGACTCTGGGACTGTTGTCTGTGGGATTCCCTGCTAGTTATGCGTCATTTCCAACACCAATTCTCAACAAATTCAACACATAGGATCCAAAGTATCCGATACATTAAGTTCAAGTATCCAATCGAAACCGATACTTCTAAGTATCCAAGTTGCACACAGGGCCCCCGCCAGACCTGAAGCCGCCCGCGTGCGATTTCATATTTTGGCGCCCCTTAGTTAGAGCCAGTTTCTCAATAGAAAGTCATCGCTGGGTTAAGCATAAAGCTTACTTTTCATGCATCCGTTTTTCCGTCAATCCGTTGATCCGGGAGTATTCCTATTAGTCCAATATTTCGGCGCCAAAATATTGGACCAATAGGAATACTTCCGGTTCAACGGATTGACGGAAAAACGGATGAATGAAAAGTAAGCTTAAACTCCAGGGTAAACATTGCAACTGGACACGTTTACCCTGGAGTTAAAACCAATCCGGAGGTGACTCGCTATTGAGACACTGATTCTAGCTAGGGGGCGCCAAAATATGAAATCGTGGAGGTTGGCGATTAAAAAGAGAGCAACAATTTTTGGAGTGGCATTGAGTCAACAGACGTGTCTCGTATCACCTGAAGTGGCAAGCAGTTGGGGGCAAATAGGTAGAAATTTGAAAGTACGCATACAGTAAAAATGTTACTATCGCCCCCAGCTGCGCGTGCATCTATGTTCTCTCCCAGTTCATCTCATTACTTTCAACACAGTTTATTATTTATTCCATATTCGAAATGTTTTTTGCTTTATAAACATTTAACACCAATAAAAATTACAGAAAACTGACTTTTCTACAAAATCTTCCAAGAAATCTTCAACATTTATACTGTCCAAGAGATCACATTCTATGGACAAAATCGCTAATCCAGATGTCATTTCTTGTAACATTGTGGATCTTGAATAGTTTTTCAATAAAAACTCTGAGCTAGATGAATAATAATAGTCCAGAGTAATTTTGCAAGAACCAACAGAAAAATTGGCCCATTGGCTGTACGGAGTTGAGAAGCGACCTGTAGCATTACAGGGTTCTATCAATTTCCAGTCTTCGTCACTCATATAAGATTTCACATGGAACTTGAGAAGGACAGAGCACTTGTTCCCAGACGAGGCGTTTCGAGAATCAGGTGCCTGATGGCCTTTGAATAAAAGGGAAAATTATTGAAACACTAGGAAGAAAAATTTAATTACCTATTAAATATTATAAATTATAAAAAAAAATATTAATTTTTTTCTCGTGCGATTTGCCGCCCCTTGGTTATGCCGCCCGCGTGCGCCGCACGCCTTTGCGCTTATGGTAGCGGGGGCCCTGGTTGCACATCACTACTGAAAATGTTTCAATCGA